TAGTTTTGAGTCTGGAGATATATATATATAAAAAATGTATATTATATATATTCTCTTCAAATAGTATCTACTTTCAGTTTCAGGATTTCCATGTTTTCTGCTCTGGGGGAAAAGTGTATTGTTGTTTTCAAACTATTTGTGATGATGTTTTCCTCAATTCATTTTCAGCTCTTTCTCTTCTCTAATATTAATTCTTTTCAAGTCTCTTTATTCCCCCCTTTTGTCAGGGAGAGCAGATTTTCTGATCTGTCTTACTCCAGCTATAGTAGCAAGGTTTTGGTGAAAAGAACAATTGAAAATTCTTTTAGGTACAATGATACACTAAAATACAAGCTACCCAAACTAAAAAAGAAACATATTTTCACCCTTCATTAAAATATGTCCCTCGTACCTTACAAATAGCTAAATGGAGCACATGCATTCAATAAATTCATCACTAGGCATAACTGGCCAATGGTATTTGCCAGTAAGTAGATGTCTGACGTATTAGGTTTGGGTGAATCTATTTTCACAGTCATGCATCTTCCTGGATCTGTAGAGTTGCACCCAGAAACTTCTTGGGAGGTCACCGTTAGCTGGTAGGGTCTGTACCCCAAACTGGTTTGTGCCTCTTGTTCAAGGGACAAATCACACGACTCACATTGCCCAAGGTGGTCTCCAATTTCCTAACCCAGGATCAAAGCACAAATGAGAAGTCAAAGACTGAGCCTCCTCCAAGGACACAGTTCACTGGCATTCCCCCGCCATGCCCATCCCCACCCCAGGAGTGGGGTGTTGCAAACCTCCGCTTTCACTCATTGTGTTCAAAGGCTTTGCCTCAACCAGCCCCATTCCTTACCATAGCCATCCATGTTTGTGACTAATTGGGATCAGAGCTTTGTCAAGACTCAGTTGTTTACCACAGGAAAACACAAAACACAGACTTGACTATTGGCAAACACTTGACACTGCTGGAAAAAAAAAATCCTAGATCCTAAATCACTTAGCCCAGACCCCAAGTGAAATGGCTCTGGGGAGCCATAAGGTGAATGAACGCTGGGAGAGTTCAGGGATGTGTCGCAGCCAAGTGCCACCAGGAAGTAGGAAGAAGGATATACCGAAAAGCAATCACGCCAATCTCTATATATAGAGTCTCCTGACCGTGCACTCTTGGATTCTGCACAGACTCTCTTCTCTCCCAGGAGATCTGAACTCCAGTCAGAAGACATCCAGGTGAGTGTCTCTGGTTGCTTCCAGAATGTGAATTTCCCCGCTGTGTTGGTATGGAAGGAGGCTGCGGTCCTCCTCACTCCTTCCTTGTGTATGGGAATTGGGAGCTGGGGCCTTTCCTCTTGTAGTCCTGCTATGTCTTGGTCGATTGCCTGTTGTAGTGACAAGACACCGAGGATATGTGATTTATGAAGAAGTTGACCTTAGCTCACAGATCTGGATGCTGAGAAGGTCAAGATAGAGCAGTTTGCATTGACAAGGACCCCCATAGGGCTTAATCTCTTGCTGGAAAAATGGAAGGGGAGAGAGGATGGGGGGGGGGGAGGGGGAGGGGGAGGGCTTCGCTTTCCAAAAATCATCTCCCTGTAGCAGTCCTGAGAGCGAGAGAACTCTGTACTCCTGAAAGAATGAACCCAGTTCCTGGATAAAGGTGTCAATCTCAGAGCCAATCTCCTTGTAAGGTTCCACCACCTTCTCTAAACAGCTACATCAGGAAGAAATTCAAATGTGAGGGGGGGATGGGCAAGACAAACCATCCTCAAGGAGAGGAAGCGCTCACTGGGCTCCCGTGATAGGGAAAAGGCACAAATACAGCGTGCTCCAATTAAACCTGCAAGGTGCTCAAAATGCTTGGAGGAAGAGGAGTCTGTCTTTTCTTGTTCTCATTTTCTCAGTCCTCTGATTCTTTTTCCTTTGTTCACATCACAGTCCATCCTTCTTACCTCTTGTTACAGTCTTTTTTGTTGTTGATGTTGTTGGTTGTGGGACTTGAACTCTGGACCTGAGCACTGTCCCTGCCTGAGCTCTTCAGCTCAAGAGGAGCACTCTACTACTTGAGCCATGGTGCCACTTCCGGTTTTCTGGTGGTTCAGTGGAGATAAAAGTCTCACGGGCTTTCCTTCCCTGGGCTGGCTTTGAACTGTGATCCTCAGATTTCAGCCTCCTGAGTAGTTAGGATTACAGGCACGAGCCACTGTCACCCAGTTGTTACAGTCTTTTTTTTGGCTGTGATGGGCAATCAGAGTCTCAGGACTCAGGGATTTAGAGACTACCCCTTCACTGCAGGAGAAAATTGTAGCCCAGAACAGTATAAGAACTCTCTACATGTATGTCATGGAAGCTCTAGGATCCAAATAGGTGAAGGATGGAAGTGGTCAAGAAGAGGTATCAAAAACAAAAAGTTCCAGGTGTGGGTGGCCCACACCCATAATCCTAGCTTCTTGGGAGGCTGAGATCTGAGGACTGCAGTTCAAAGCCAGCCTGGGCAGGAAAATCCATGAGACTTTTGTTTCTATTTAAGTACTAAAAAGCAAGAGGTGGAGCTTCTGGCTCAGGTGGTAGAGTGGCAATCTTAAACATACAAGCTTGGCAACAGTGCCCAGGGCCTGAGTTCAAGCCCCAGGGCAGGCACACACACACACACACACACACACACACACACACACACACACACAACCTCCATACAATTCCTTTAAAAATCTAATGGTTCATCACAGAAGATGGAAAGCCTGAAATCAATTAATTTAAAGGTAATGTCAAACCTTTCCTGTATCATTTCCTGAACACACAGTCTCCAAGTCCCCCCACCCCCCTTCCGAGACCCTGTGCAGAGGCCAGAGTCCATCCTACATTGTGGGAGTCACAGAGCTCCTGGGACTCACTGATTGCACTCCAACTTGGGAAATGCCTGGGATGGGGGTCGTGTGCAAACCATTTCCTTATTTTGCTTTGCAACTGAGCCTCCTCTTTCGATTTCAAGTAGCCACTTTATGATTAAAGTAGCCACTGTGATGAAGAGTATGTTTTATGCCAGAGACATGAATCTCTAGCCATTCCACTCCATGCTGAGAAGGCTTGGCCTGCTCACTCTCTCCCAGATGCTCAGGCTGCAGTGCAGAACACCAGCCTCATGCAGAGCCACCTGCTATCATAGTTTGGTGACCTGGTGTCCCCAATCCATTGTGCATCCTTAGTGTGGAGGGGAAATGGATGCCCAATCCTAACTTCCTGATGGAGACATATGGCTGCCTTAACAGATTCCTTCTGCTTTTCCAGCACCTTCTCCCTCCAGTCATACTTCGAACATACTTGTGCTTCTCAAGTAAAGCCAGGAGATGGATGTCTTATCTTTCTCTACATACCTAATTATTGTCTTCTACATGATTTTTTTCCCCTGAGGTTGACCAGTCCTCTCCCTAGAATTTGTCAGGGAAAACAATCTATCGCTTTGTCCAAAGTAAAATTTCTTTTCTTTGCCTCTGACCAACTCTTTGCTCATGGATAAAAGGCACTGACTGGCCAGGAGGTGAGCTAATCTTCAGGCACTCCAAGCACCCACAGGAGGAAGTATGCTTACTTCCTTCAGCTTTAATGGGATAACTAATCTTTTAACTGTTGGCAAACTAAAGACCTCTATGGCTTTGCTATGTCAATCAAAATATCTTGCTGAGCCTCCACATTCCCACATTCCTCCTCACGAATAAGGTTCTCCTCCCCTTTCTTTACCAGCCCAACAATTAGGTGCAAGTTAGTTGAACTGAGCAGCAAGCAGCGTGTGTCTCTCAATTATCCACCTGCTCCCAAATGGATTTCAAAATGGATTCAAACTGTATTTGAGTTGGAAGATCCTGTGTCCAGCGTCATCTATGATAGACTATGTTCTCAGAACTAGAGACACTTTTAATCATTTAAAAATGCTAGAAATGAGTGTTGGCAAAAAGGCAAAGGAAGTGAAGAAAGTATGGAAAATTGGGAAGTGACTTGACAGAGACTAGAAATCACAGGTCATGTCCACATTTTCCAAGTAAAACTGGGTCTTTATGGAGCAAAGCAATGGGAAAAAAGGATGAAAGACTCTGCCAAGGCAGTACTCATAGTGGGCACTGTGGAGTGCCCACCACCAGGCTAAAGAAATGTTTATTGCCGAACCATGGTAAAGCTTTGGAGGCCTCTGTGAAGGTAGTTCATGTGAGAGTTAAAGTTTGTGGACTGGTTTAGTTGCAGAATGAAGTACTGAGATCTTGAACAAGGGCTACTGATCGTAGGAATCATGCCACCATCCAGTACTTGACAAAGTTTGATGACAGAGTCTTCGAGGAGGAGAGTGGAAGAGAGAAATTGTAATTCTAAGAATGTAGTGTTTCATGTCATCAGAGAAGTCATGATGAATCGTAAGCACAGTAGAATTTGCTTCTGGTATTTCCAAGTACCAAATGTTTGTGTTAATGCTTCCATCAGTCTTCACACTGAAATTTCCCAAGGCTAATAGCCTCATCCCTATACAGTTAGGAAAAGCAAGCCTAAGGATTTGGATCTCAGAGTAACTTTTGAGAACACAGAGATGGTCTCAGTTACCTGTGAATGCCGTTTGAGCTAGTAAAGGATTTATCTCCATAAATCCTAGGCGAGGGGTAGACAGGAAGAGGAGGCCTCTCAGATGGTAGAGGTACACACTAGTGGCAGAAAGCCTTGTTCACTCTCAGATGGTAGAGGTACACACTAGTAGCAGAAAGCCTTGTTCAACCTTTGGGTGAGGAGAGAGGCCGGGAGGATACAAAGTCATGGCCCAGTAATGAATAGAAGCCAGGACAATGAAGATCCTTAGAAAGCAACCATTGGAGTTGGTCTAGCCCAGGAAACCAACAGACAGGTAAGGACTCTTAATTATACCAAGTCTGGCCAGAAGCACTGGCAGTACTGGAAGAGAAAGACCTCTGGCCTTCATCCGTTCAGTTTTTGCTAATTCTCTCATCATACTCAATCTTTGTTCTTCTGCAGCAGCTGACCAAACCATGGGAGAAAACGTGGAAGCCACGGCCGAGGATTATTTTGAAAATCTAGTGGAGGGAGTGGAACGATGGGATCTCAGTAAAGTGCACATCCCCTCTGAACTCCTTCTGGTCAGCAAGGAGGCTTTTCCAGTGATGGTGAATGAGAAGGGCCAGGTGCTGATTGCTGCGTCCTCCTATGGTGATGGCCGCCTCCTGGTGGTGGGCCATGAGCATTACTTGTTTCAGCCTAGTTTCACTCCATTTCTGGTCAATGCAGTGAGCTGGCTCTGTCCCTTCCTCGGGTCTCCCATCACCCTGCACCCGTCCCTGCTGATAGTCGGAGGCCTTCTGAAAAAACACGGCGTCGATACGCGGATTAGGTCAGAACCTGGTGACCCCTCGGGAGTTTACTGCACCAGTGCCTTCCATGAGAACCTGATGGAGAAGCTGTTCCGATTCTTGAAGAGCGGAGGGGGCGTGCTCATCGCTGGCCACGCCTGGGCTTGGGCCAATATGCACGGCCATCACAAGGTGCTTTCCAGGTTCCCCGGGAACCTGGTGACCAGTGTGGCTGGCGTGTACTTCACCAACATTCAAGGGAAAATAGACAATTTCAAAGTCTCTCAGAAGATGCCCTTAATTCCGCTGGACCTCAGGTGAGCAAGGCCTCTCAGAGGGGAGTTTGATCCTGGTGAAATGCCAGCAGTACTGGGAGGCTTGAGCTCGAGGAGGGCCTCACGCTTACTGCTAAGCCTCCCATTCCACTCCCTCTGCTTTCTATGTTTAAGGAGCTTTCATCCCAGCAGAGGGGAAATGGGGTCACTGCTGAATCCTTGCAGATTAGCAATGTAACCATGGCCTTTGTCACAGCTACTGTGGACTGGATGTTAATGGCTTTGAGAGAAGGCAGTTTTCTGTGTTGCTTACAGTTGAGCCTCCCAATGATAAATAATTAAGAAGAAATGGTCAGGAAGCTAATAAGAGGTGTATGATGTTCATGGGAAATAAGGCACGTGTCTGTTTTGCCTAGAATGGTATTGCTAATATCTCATGTAATCCTTGACACATTAGATGACAAGTAAGCCCTGAATGAAGACATGAAAAAAATGTGAGCCTTGGTGTACTTCAAGCATAGAAAAGAAACGCAATATAAGCCAGGCAGCTTTACAGCAGTAATTTTTCTCTCTAGAAGCAAAATGGGATCATTAGAGGAGTGTTATGTCTGAGCCAAAGCAGGTCAGTAATAGGATGGTGGGACTGGAGAAAGCCCTGTAGCATCAGCCTCCATAGTGGAGCAGGATTCAGATTCTCTGCAAAGATTAGAGAAAAACTGAGCAGTTCTGACCAGAGGATTGGGTCAAAGTGCTACATCTGTCCTTTGTTTGCTGTGAATCCTAAGGACTAGATAAATCAATGTTCTTTCTCTTCTGACTAATCCGTATATGCATATACATATGTGTGTATATATATATGAACATTTATAAATATAGATATGTATCACTCTGTCACAGATGAATAACATCCTAGAGAGGATGTTATAGCCTAATTTATTTAACAATAGGTATTTGAATCTGAAGTCATAGCTGCTGTTACTTAAAGCTTCAAAATGACTCATATGTCATTGCTTATAAATGCAACCGAAATGGAGAGGCAGTCAGTCTGAGAAGGTGAATTGTTAGTTCAAAAATATTTGTCTCTGAAACATCAAGGGATACTGAAAAGTTGTCATCATAAAAGGCAATTAACAACTTCACTCATAAACTGTAGCCCCAGAATATTGCTAATATTGGATATTGTTAACTCTTGTTTAACATATTGTCAGTAAGAACTGTGAAAGTGTGACCTTAATGTGTTTTTCTGATTTAATGTAGAGGATGATTACTATAGTTATAGCAATATGTGTTTCTTTTTTGAGATGTCTATTTTTGACATGTCTATTTTGTACTTAAATTTTTACATAGTCTTTGTCTTTTTCTGATTGATGATGGAGTGCATTTTCTGTATTATAGATATTACTTCTTTGACTATTTTGCACATTGCAAGCATTTTCCTCTACCATTTGTTCTTTTCGTCTGGTTCTGGACTTGGAATTCAGGGCTTTGTGTTTTCCAGGCAGACACTCTATCACTTGAGCAATAACCTCAGCCTTTTTTGCTTTAGTTATCTTTTAATAGAGCCTCACATTTACACTTCTGCTGATCTAAACTGTGATCCTCCTATTTATACTTCCTATGATAGGTATAGGCCAGCATGCCCAGATTTAATTGGTTGAGGTGGTCTGGAGATATAGGCAGTGGTAGAGTATTTACTTAACAGGTACAGGGCCTCGATTCTACTTCCAACACAGAAGTAGGAAGGAAGGAAAGAAAGGAAGAAGGAGGCACAAAAAGAAAAAGAAGGAAGAAATGAAGGAAGGAGAATAAAAATATAATAAAAGTCTAGATAGCTCTGATAGAGATAATTTGAGAATTTTATTGCCTTTTTATTTGTGTTACATGTATTATGCATGTGTGTATATAATTCATGTCTTCCAAATTTATGAACAAGATGATTCTCTTTAGAGATGACAGACTTGTTTTCCCAACTTGATTTATTTCATATGTCTAATAGTTCAGATGCACCACAGGTAAATCAGAATCATCAACAAAATGTTGACTGAGACAGCAGTTCATCCTAGGACATTTACCTACGACATTTGTCCTTTTCAACACATATTGGGGGGTCTAGAAACAAAAAAACCTCACCTGCATAATGTTAAATTCTCTCACTTAAACATGATTTGAAGATACAGAAATCATACAATGTACAATTCAATAAAGCATTGAACTGTTTCCGTGGGCAGTTAAAAATCATGTGGTGATCCTTTTTTTTTTTTTTTATCCTGACTTGACTGAGAAGAAGAAAAGGACTACGCCTTTTTCTCCAGGTGATACTTCCAGAAATTAAAATGGCAGAAGTCTCCCTTGGCTGGGTTTTCCCTTCCTGACAGTTTGGTAGTTTAGTACCACATGACGTTGGCTCTTGGGTCTTCTGTTGTTAGACTTCATTCCAGAGGCTCTCATGTGGAAATGTCTTTTCCTAGGTGTGATGAAGAGCTGGCAGAGGACCAGAAGAAGCTCCTGCAAGGAATTTCTGAGCTGGACATCCGGGCAGGGGGCATTCCCTCACTGCTGCTGGTGCACGGAGAGCTGGCCTTTTCCCTGGGCATGGACAGCTCCTCTGGCTGCTTTCTTGCAGCTTCCCACTACGGCCGTGGCCGCGTAGTGGTGGGGGGGCACGAGAACCTGATCCTCAGCCACAAGATGCACCCATTTGTGCTCAATGCTTTACACTGGCTGGTTGGGACGAAGAAAGGTAAAATTGGCTTAGACTCCAAAATGAGAGCTCTGGGCCCTATGTTATCAAAGCATAACTTCGAATGGACCAGCACAGAAGTTCTGAGCAGTAACTTGAGTGTCTTCTGTGGCTGTTTCTCGCTTGCCCAAATGGATCCCCAGGAGGTGGAGGAATTTGTGGCAGAAGGTGGAGGGTTGCTGATTGGAAGACATGCCTGGCTTTGGAGCCTCAGGCACCCAGAAGAGAAATGCATGACACAGTTCCCCGAGAATAGGTTCCTTACCACCTTTGGCCTTGGCATCACAGATCAGACAGGTAAACGAGACCGTGTCCCGGTCCCTAAGCCTGGAGACAAAAACTACCACATCCGGACTGCTCTCTCCCAACTTGCCACCTCGCTGTACAGTGAGAAGGGCTCCATAGAAGAGAGCTGGCTGGAGAAGCTCATACAAGACTGCTCCTACCTGTTCCAAATCCTCAATCACGATGCACCCATCTACCAGTCTATGAAGAATCATATCCTGCAGATGATCAAGTGGGACGGCTTACCACTTGTGAGCAAGGAGAACCCCATCACCAAGGGGAGCTCACAAGCTGTACTCATATCCCTGGCTGGAGAACTGGTCAAGTCAGGAATTCAGAGCTCTATGCTGCTGGATCATCCTGCCTTTCTACCTGCCACAGAATCTCCCGTCACTATTGAGATCCACACAGGTATGGAATGGAGAGAGGACCCAGGGCTGTGTAGAGAATGGCAGGGGGGGGAGGGATGGTAGAGTGGCCAGCTTCAGCATCGTTCCAGAAGGCCTTTCCTCTCAAAGGACAACTGTGATCCTCCTATTTATACTTCTGACAATAGGCATAGGGCAGCGTGCCCAACGTTGATCTGTTGGGACAGTCTGGCAGTGGTAGAGCATTTACCTAATAGGTACAAGGCCCTAATCCCACCTCCAATACAGATTTACTTTAAAGGAAAAAATGTGTGTGTTGCTATTAGGGCTTCAACTCAGGGCTCGGGTGTCCTCTCTGGGGTTTTTCACCCACGGCTGGTGCTGTACCACTTGAGCCACACCTCCACTTCTGACGCTGTGCTGGTTCATTGAAGATAAGAGTCTCATGGACTTTTCTTCCTGAGGCTGGCTTCGAACCGTGATCCTCAGATCTCAGTTTTCTGAGAGACGAGGGAGACAGGTGTGAGCTTCTGGATCCTGGCATCCGTAAACTTTGAAGAAGACATACTTTAGAGATTCGGAGTGGGGGTGGGCAGTCTGGTGAGTGAAGGAGTGTCTAGCAGAGCCCAGAGCTCTCAAAGGGTCTGTGGGAATTCTGCATGAAGGTGAAATCTTGCCACTGCAATAACTTCAGTCTTTCTTATGACTTTTGTCAGAAAACCACAACTCCTGGGTGAGCACCGGCCTCTACCTGCCCGAAGGGGAGACTGTAGAAGTAACACTGCCTGCTAAAGCTGTTGGTGCTAAACTGAAGGTGAAGTATCTGTCCTATGATGTCAACTTCTGGCATTTCCATAGCACCTTCCCTTCTTCTCACAATAACTTTTGGGATTCTCTCAACAATCCCACCAGCCATACAAGGAAGGTACCATTCCCAGTTTACAGACAAGAGAAATAGTCACAGAAAAGCCGAAGCCTGGCCTACACAATCAGTAGGGTACATACTACAAAACACTTAGCAGAGTCTGGACCATAATACAGACTCATGAAGCTTAGTTCCTTTTTAGCTCAGAGCCAAAGTTCCACAGATGATTGCTCCTTTCCTGTGGAACCTGAAGCATTATCCAAATATTGTCCAACCTTCAACATGTTAGAATTACTTCCACAGGGGGCTGGGAAGGTGGCTCAGTGGTAGAGCGCTTGCCTTGTAATGCATGAGGCCCTGGGTTCGACTCCTCAGCACCACATAAGAAAAAAGCCGGAAGTGGCGCTGTGGCTCAAGTGGTAGAGCGCTAGCCTTGAACTGAAGAGCTGAGGGACAGCGCCCAGGCCCAGAGTTCAGGCCCCACGACCGGACACACACACACACACAAAAAAGAATTACTTCCACAGAACCAGGTGCCAGTGACTCACACCTGCAATCCTAACTCTTTAGGAGGCTGAGATCTGAGGATCTTAGTTTGATGCCAGCCCAGGCAGGAAAAAAATCTGTGATACCCTTATTTCCAACTGGCCACCAGAAAAACAGAAGTGGTGCTGTGGCTCAAAGTGGTAGAGTGCTAAGGGATAGCTTCTAGGTCCTTAGTTCAAGCCCCATGACCAACAAAAGAAAAAGAAAAGGAAAGGAAGAAAAAATAATTTCTTCCACAGCCTTTCTTTACCTGAGACTCAGAGATGTCAGAGGTGTAGTCAGTGCATTCCATGAGTCAGTATTTACTTTGGGACTGGTTTTACTTAAATAAAAATCATCCTTGGGCTGGGAAGGTGGCTCAATGGTAGAGTGCTTACCTCAAATGCATGAGGCTCTGGGTTCGATTCCTCAGCACCACATAAGCAGAAAAAGCCAGAAGTGGCGCTGTGGCTCAAGTGGTAGAGTGCTAGCCTTGAGCTGAAGAGCTGAGGGACAGCGCCCAGGCCCAGAGCTCAGGCTCTATGACCGACCAAAAAAAAAAAAAAAAAAAAAATCCTTGAACTCTACAGAAAACAAGAAAGAGATGCTCTGAAGAAAATAGATGAATAGAGCTATTCTTTATTCAGTCAAGTGTGTAGATGCTCTTTTTCCCACCTCTGCTAGGGACAAGTGTGGCCCCAATGGGGAGGGAAGGGATAGTGAGAGGAAAAAAAAGGAGGGGTAACAATGCCCAACAAGAAATGTGCTCATTGGGCTGGGAAGGTGGCTCCGTGGTAGAGCGCTTGCCTTGCATGCCTGAGGCCCTGGGTTCCATTCCTCAGCACCACATAAGCAAAAAAAAGAAAAAAGCCGGAAGTGGCGCTGTGGCTTAAGTGGTAGAGCGCTAGCCTTGAGCTGAAGAGCTGAGGGACAGCGCCCAGGCCCAGAGTTCAGGCTCCCCGACCGGACAAAAAAAAAAAAAAAAAAAATGTGCTCATTACCTTACTGATGTTAACTGTAACCTCTCTGTACAGCATCTTTACAAGAAAATATTTTTTTAAAAGACCTAAAAAAGAGTAACCCCAATTCTCTCTGGCCTAAGAAACTTATGTGCAGGGAGAAAAAGAAGAGAGAGTAGGGGGAGACAGACAGGGGGAGGGGTTCAGAGTGGACCCAGGATGACTTGTGCTCTCTCTGACAGGTCCTCATTGGCTGCCATACAGACAACATCAGCCATGCAAAAACTTACTTCCGCCCCCCGGTGGTGACACAGACCTTCAACTTAGATAAAGAGAAGAAGTCCTTCTCCTGGCTGTGGGGGGGGCTCATCTACATCATTGTACCCTCTGACTACAGACTGGGTAGTATACCCATCACCATCCGTGGGGCTTCATTGGCCCCATGCTTCCAACTGGGTAAGTAGGAAGATCCCGTTCACTCTGGAGGCTGGGAAGGGGCCGTGATGAGGGGCAGGGATGGGATTCAACCTAAGGGCTTAAGCAGGAGACCGGCACCTCCCGGGAGGTCAGAGGGGAGGATGGCAAAGGACAGGGCTTTGTGTCTTAGGTCAATACAAGTGATGATTGCTGATCAGGTGATAGCTCATATCTCCTTTGAAACTCGGGGAAAGTGGTACGCAACCTTTTATTCCAGGAAAGACATCTAAGGAGGACTGGAAGCGTCTTCGCCTGCAGAATCCAGCGCCCTGGGGAGAGCTGATCACAGACAACATCATCCTGACCGTGCCAACTGCAAGCCTGCAATCTCTGGAGGACCCAGAGCCCTTGCTGCAGCTCTGGGATGAGATGATGCAGGCAGCGGCTGGGCTGGCGGCTGAGCCCTACCCTTACCGCCGGCCGGAGAGGATTGTGTTTGATGAACAGGTCTTATTTGGTGAGTGCTTCAGAGAAATAGTCTGGAAATGGATTTGCTAACTGAAGTTAAGTACAATTGAGTTACAAAGCATAATTTGACAGAAATTGATAGGGAGGAAAGGGTTCATAATGACATTTAGGACCCTGCAAACCATACAATTTAAAAGGGCAGAAAAATCTATTATGATTCTCTGATCTCTAGTTAACCAGAACAAAGTTAGAAGTAAAGGTATGGCTCAAATGGTAGAGTGCCAGCCTTGAATGAAAAAGCTAAGGGTCAGCACCTAGCTCTTGAGTTTACACCCTAGTATGCTCCTCCACAAAGTCAATCATTATTTAAATCTTCACAAAATGAGAGTCATGGAACAGTAGGAATAAAATGACACCACGTGTGAACAATTCGTGTGTGCCCCTGGAGAAGAGATGAGGATTCAGTGAGAAAACAGCCGTGGAAAGAGACAGGGAAGGGATATTTGGTAAAGTTAAGCAGAGTTAAGAGGACTTTGTAAAGCTTGGGAAAACTAGAGAAAATATAAGTATTTAGAAAAAAAAATAGCTGAGGAAGCCTGATGTACATTTTCAAGATTTCAAACTGAGTGCCTAAGATACAAGACTGTACTGGAAAAGGGAAAACCTTACTGTTTTCCCCCCAGAGATCTCATGTCCAAACACAGAGCATGAAGGCACAGACAAGAATACCCACCACCTAAAAACGCAGGGAGAGATAAACAATACGTTCACATTCATGCCATGCTCTCTGCGCTTGACTCTTTGAACCAGATAGGAACAAGAATGGCAAACTGGGTCTATGGACCTGAGCAGGATGGAGGCCCATTGGGCTGCCCATAAACATGGGTAAAAGGTGGAGCCAGATGCTCTTCTGCTTGATACGGGGCTACGCAATGTGTTGGAGGCCTTCTTCTGGATGGTGGGGGGAGGTGCCATCTATGAAGGGCATCACCAAATCTCTCTCCTGTCACTGTCTTCAGGCCTGTTGCACGCAGGATACCCCATCGTGGGCCAGACACAAATAGTGGGAGACTTCATCTCGGTGGCGGCAATCAGGTCCAACGGTCTTTGGAGCGGCCTCCATGAGCTGGGCCACAATCACCAGCGGAGTGCATGGAGCTTCCCTCCCCATACTAACGAAGCCATGTGTAACCTCTGGGCGGTCTATATCCACGAGACTGTTCTGGACATCCCCAGGGCTCGGGCCCATCCTGCACTGAGGCCTGAGACTCGGAGGCAGAGGATCAAAAAACATGTGGACAAGGGAGCCCCTCTGAGTGAATGGAGTGTGTGGACAGCTCTAGAAACGTATCTCCAGGTACTGGGTAGACAGGGACGGAAACGGGAGTCCCCAAAGACCCTTCAGATGTGGGTAGCTTTCTGGTGCTCCTCAGTCCTACAAGGTCCTCACCAGCTCCAATGGCTCTGGGATATGTCTCCTCCCTGGACACAGAAGGGCGGGCCTCTCTGTGGGTCATCATCATGGGAAGGATAAGGAGGAGACAGTGAGTGTGCCCCCTCCTCTCCTCCACCTCACTAGTTGGTGGAAATAGGTAAAAACAGGTAGAATCGTTATGAAAAATGCACCACGATTATGAAGCTCCGTTCAGATTTACCTGATAGCTATCTTCATAGCTTAGAAGATGCTCATGTCCCTCCTCACTCTGATCAGGTATTTTTGCCAGCAGAATGGCAACCTCCAACCTAAACCTTAAGTGTGGACAAGTTCTGGTTTCATATTCAAATCCATGACATGTGCAGTGTCATGTAACTGTCCCCAAACCTTCCTTTCTAGTTTCTTGCTAGCTGAGGAAGTGTTATCTCTATAGTCCATGCTGCAGGTTCGGAAAGCCCAGGTGAAAATATACAAGCAGTTCACTGTTGGTCTCATAATTAGAAGGAATAGACCCAAGGCCCATTTTCTGTGATAGACCATCATGAGTTGGGCCCTGTGGCACTGTTTCTGGATGCTCACCCTGCCTCTGTGATTCCAAGACTGTGATGTCTTTTGGATATACCAGCTTCCTTATTAATAAGTCATCAGTCTGAACATCTGCACAACACTGCCATAGAATCAGCCAGAAGTTTCAGATCCAAGTTCAACTCCTGGCCTCTGGGAACAGAGTCCTATCTCTACTCTGAGTGAAGGTGCCTATTGCTCTGGGTTCTGAGGCTGAAGTTCAGGCCAGTCAGGAACCTCCCCTGACTACTTACCTTCCCTTGCCAACAACAGGTCAAAATCCACCTCCCCTCTTACCCAGATTGCTTCAGTATCCTCCTCACAGACTCCTTACCCTAAGCCTTGATAACCTATTTTCCAAAATGCTGGGGGTGGGCGGGGGATGAATGACATAAATGTTATCCTATCACCTAACAATAACTCCGTGGCACTGCCAGTAGAGCACTCAACCTTTATTATCTGGCTCGGTCTTAATCTCCTGCCTTCCATAGGGTCATAGACTCCTAAATGTTAGGCCAGAAACCAGAACTCCACGGGCCCAGTTCTACATCTCCAATCTTGAGCTCACCTCACTCAGATCCAAGTCTTTATTAGTAGGCTTAGGAGCGATAGAACTAACAATACTAATGTAAGTGCATTTACTGAGAACCTGCAGTCCATCAAATGATGGCCAAGTACAAATTCTGTCTCTAAGATTGTACTGAGGCTCAGTAAATCATGGTGCCCATCACAGGATACACTTGTAGAGGAGGAGGAAGGAGGGGTGCATCAACAAAAACTAAATTAATATTACAAGTTGGATAAAAAACTAAGAGCCACTATGTAATCGAAGGTATATGTCTCGTGAGTGACTTTCTTGGCTACGTGCTTCCTCTTCTTTGTCTTTCCAGCTGCAGGAAGCCTTCGGGTGGGAGCCATTCACCCAGCTTTTTGCCGACTACCAGACCATCCATAATGCTCCGAAAGACAACCCCAAAAAGATGAATCTCTGGGTAAGGAAGTTCTCTGAAGCAGTGAAGAAGAATCTGGCTCCTTTCTTTGAGACCTGGGGCTGGCCCCTCCGGAAGGATGTGACAGACAGCCTCGCTTCTCTGCCCGAATGGGAGGAAAATCCCATGAAATCTTATTTATCTATGTGAAAGTCAAACGAATGAAATGTGTTCTCTCTGCATTAAGATAACTCATTGGGTACAGCAAATGCTCACTTAAATGTCAACTTTCAGGATTTTTTTCCCCCTCTCAGTCTCATGTAGCATGCTCTCAGTTCTTTTGCATGATAGGAATTTAATTAGCTGATGACTTTTCAAAATTAGCATTATGGATAAATTAATCATTTTCCCTTAGATTAAGATACTTTTTTAAGATATTCACAATTTGTTCCTTGTTTAACATTGAGCATTTTCTTTATTGAGTTAGTTGCTTAAATGTAGAGACTTAGTCACAGGAAAGTCTTCCTCTGGATCCATTTCCAGTATTTTTAATCCTAATTCTAAATTTATTTGCCAAATATCATTTGTGTAGGTGACTTAAACAGAGGTCAACAAACACTTCTTGAAAATGAGTAACAGTAACTCCCAGATGGAAAATAGGCTATGTACTACCCCCAGATAACTGGACTACAATTGTCCCTCATTGTACCAACCCAAGGAGCTAGGACCTACAACATACAGACTTGTTTCAAGCTAGTGTGTTACTGGAAATTAAAGCTTGAATACAAAGGACCGAACTTCATATAGACATGTGTGTGAAGTTCTGTGAAGGTATTGATTTATATACTTACCTTTAAAATATTCATTAGAATTAGTTCCTTAACATGTTTTTTTTCTATCACATATGCTCACTTGTCTATTTAGAGGAGACCAGCCACCCTGCCTGGGGAAATGTCAGTGGTGTTGCTCTGGGTAATAATTCTGTGACGTACTAACAGCTAAAACTCCAGTTGTTTTAGACAACTTGATGTGAATGTCAGCTAAACAGACCAAGACAAGGAAACCCCCCACCACACAAATATTGGCATGTGCCACACAAACCCACAAAAGCTGTAAATAAATAAATAAATAAGCTACAGCCTTAGATGAGGCCCTTACTGTAGGAGCTTCTATGCTGAAAGGTCAATGCTATTGCAAATCCATGAAGCATGAGCATGCCAAGCTGTGTGTGTGCGCATCATCGTATGGTCTCTTCTGTCAAGCGCAGAAACTGAATTTTTAAACTAACACACTAAGAGTGCTAAAGCAACAATCAAACATAGATAACGGCGTGCTAGATCCCCAATGTATAACTAGAACTGTCGTAGTTATTCTTATACACTGAAGGTATGCTTACAGTCAGCCTGTAACGGGACCTAATTCTCCTGTATATAAATTTGACTTTCTTTATAATGGATTCTTTTAATCTTTTTCCATGTGTTCCATGAAACTTCCTCTTGAGCACTGTCTTTTCTTTTCCTCTGACTGAAATAGGGGTTGCAGGGCGGGTAGAGGGGAGGCAGCAGAATAGGATCCTCAGAGTTCTTATCATGAAAGTGCATGTAAGACCACTGATGTCCAAGCATCGCACTCTGTCCCCAGGACATAGAGACTCAGCATGGATGCTCACAAGGCCTGAAGAGCCAACTCTGTGTCGTTCTTTTGGCACTAGCAGGAGATAATTTCTTTCCGAGATCATGATTTCTATGAACCATATCTGATTCTACAAATGGTACAACTTTGTCTCAAGATCACCATTTTCACAGAAAGAAGAATTAATGTATAAAGAAACACACACAAAAGAAAATGAGAAACTTTAAAAAGAGATTATATCCCCAAAGATACTTCTCAAAAGTATAGATACAAAGTGTGGTGTCTCACACCTGTAATCCTAGCTACTCAGGAGGCTGAGATCTGAGGATTGCAGTTCAAAGCCAGCCCGGGCAGGAAAGTCCGTGAGATTCTTATCTCCAATTAACCACCAGAAAACCAGAAACGGAACTGTGGCTCAAGTGGTAGAGCACTCGCCCTAAGCTGAAGAGCTCAGGAACCGCCCCCAGGCCCAGAGTTCAAGACCCATGGCTGACAAAAAAGAAAAATCCAAATTCCCACCTCAATCTGTCGAAACGTTAGGTGTGGATATGTGCTTGCCAGCCCAGCTATGGTCTAAGCCAGCCTGGTAGATAGCAAGATCTCATTTTAAAAAATTCCAAAAAGGACTGGGAGCTCATTCAAGTGGTAGGAAGCCTGCCTTGCAAGGGCTCAGACCTTGAGTTTAAACTCTAGTACAAAAAATTAAAAGTTAAAAGAAGAAAAATCTAGATATCTCAGTACAATAGTGATTTAAGCTCCAGGTCAATACATAGGTTGTTTTGTGTTTGTGTGGTTGGTTTATTCAGTTGGTTTGTATGTAAATTCACTGAATCAATAAACTTCTTCTTTCGGCTTCTTGCAAGCATAAGTGAGTTTCTATCGCCTGTCATCAGCAACATCCATTTCCCCAAGTCTTCTCCGTGTGCTGACGGAGCTGAGTGGTACCCAACTGTTCTCGTGGAGGATCTGCCTGAGCCTGACTTTCCTGGGCTCACACATCTCTTTTTCTGCTCATATGGGGGCTTAAGCATGGGGCTTAGAACAGTTAAACACAAACTGGTCACCACTGATGACAAAGACAGCCAGTGGTCTCCAAGAGTTCCCTCTCTACACTCTGGGACACCTGTCACTCTTGCATTTCATTCATTTTTAAAGGTGCTCTGGGATCAATAGGCTCTAGAACCTAGAATCTCATCCGTTTTTCAAGCTTTGGAAAGGCGAGAATCTGGTTGGGAAGGCTGACTAATAGCTGTATATTTTCTCTTTTAGATCTCAAGTTAAGGAAAATTTCTTCCTTGATTTCTTTTCTTCTTTCCTTCTCTTTCTCTCTCTTTCTTTCTTTCTTCTTTCTGTCTCTCTCTCTTTTTTCTTTCTTTCTTTCCTTCCTTCTTTTCTGCTTGCTTTTTTTGGGCATTATTTCTTTGTGGTGCTGGAGATTGAATACAGGACTTTAAGCGTGCTAGGCAAGCACTTTCTCGCTTTGAAGATAATTTCTTAGGAGAAATTCCATACCCTTCGAGTATTCTACCTGAATACACACATGTGTTCAGCTGCAGTCACAAAACACATGCATTAAATTCTCCTTACATTTACACTTATTTTCTGTTTAATGCATTCCCCCAATGCCTATACATAAGACAAGGCTGACATCTATATTTCTTAGAACTGAATCGCCAGTGTGTAACACAGTACCTGTCACATAAAATCATAGGTATTTATAGTTGGCATAAAATTACACAGCATGACTAACACCTGACCCCATTTGAATACCCTCTAAAGACCTAGAAGATTTACTGAAGGTCAAAGAAATATGCTTACTCTAAAAAGAAATCACTATTACTTTAATCTTTATGCCATTTTTTTCTCCCTAAGAACAAGCTACACAACTTTTTTATTGTAAAGGTGATGTGCAGATGGGTTACCATTACATGAGTCAGATAATGAGCATATTTCCTTTTGAGCAGTGTCACCCCCCCATTCTCTCAGGTTTTCCCCTTCTAACTCCTCCCACCACCAAGCTGCATAGTTCATTTCTAGTGGGTTTCACTGCTGAATGGGTTCACCCTTTGTCCCATGGTCTCTGTGCTTCCCCTTCCCCTCCCCAAATCAGATAAACTTATATACAAGACAAAGGGTACAGAAATAAAAAAAATAGCAAGAGAAGGGAATAAATCAAAGAAAAAATGATAGGAGCAAAAAAAGAACTACAAATCTTATAATAAAAAAACTCTTACTGCCATTTCTTGGAGTTCATTTCCATAAGCATCATTTCATATGATCATATGCACAGAGCTCTTGATTCCTTATGATCCTCTCCTAAGAATATCCTCCTTTGTTGTCACTGTATGAATGTTTAGATTGCTATTTAATTAATCATGTCCAGGTGTACTAATTGGTCTTTTACTATCCATTGGGTTTACTTGTAGATTTATAGGCACATTCGGGTTATTACAAATGAAGGAAATCATGCAGCCTATGTTTCTTTGGGTCTAGCTTACTTTGCCTACTATAATTTTTTTCCAAGTCTTTCCATTTCCTTAAGAATGGGGCAATATGATTCTTTATGATGAAATCATAGAAGTCTATGGTGTAGATATAGCACATTTTCTTGATTCATTTGTCCATGCAGGAGCATCTGGGTTGATTCCATATCTTGGCTAGGGTAAACAATGCTGCAATGAACATGTTCATGCTGGTGACTTTAGGCTACACAACTTTTTATCATATTGGTATTTGATGGGATGACAAGGAGCTTTGTATTGATGTCCCTCTCTCCCTTTGAAATATTAAAGGACCAGGTTTTATGAAGATGTTTTCAACAATATTTCAACAAATAGGAAATGGTGCTGGAAACTTTCAGAAGAAAAAATCAACTTTTAATTACATTCCTTTATATACCTTAACATTTTATGAGTTTTTGCTTTCACTTCTTCCCAAATGTGCTTCTTTTCCTCTCCTCACTTGAGCTTTAGCTAACATAGATTTGGAAAATACTCTTCTCTCTTCTGAATTCTCACCACCTCCTGTCTTGCAATGTGGCATTGAATTCTTAGTCAAGGGCATTCCTGTAAGTCAGGAAGATCCCCAAATCTCTTACCATCCCTCAAAAAACTTCCAGCCCATTTCTGTCTCTCCTCAAGAGGGCACACTAAGCACAGGATATAGCTTCTTCAACTGCAGGCCTTCAATTGCTAGATAAACAAGATCTCTTTTAAAAATCTAACAGTGCTAGAAAATCAGAAGACAGGCTTGCCCTAAATATGTCATGTGGAAGGAAAGCAAGAACCAGGAGAAGGTATTATAAAAGTCAGGAAGAGTCATGAAAGGCCTTAAAACAATGAGCCACTGGATTAGAGAAGTAGACTCATTCTAGTGTCTCTATTATAGCTAGTATATCTATTCTAGTATAGTCTAGTATATCTAGGATTGAGTGCCCAAATTGCAGGGGAAAACCTTTATGGTTAGGTCCAAAATCAAGTAAGGAAAAAAATTCAGGTCCCTAAGTGAGGCCAGCCAACCTCAGAGAGACAAGTGGCACATGGTTTCTCTCCTATATGGAAAATAAAATACAGCTGGAC